TGATGATGACGACAGGATGGTGATGATGATGGTGGTGATGATGATGACGAGGATGACAATGATGATACTTATGGTGACATGATGGTGCAGACGATTATTATGATGATGACGATGAGGTTGGTGATGATGAGGGTGGTTATGATGATGTGGTTGATGATGATGAGGAGGATGATGAGGATGTACTCCACACACGTCTCGAAGAGGAAAGCATCGTTGCACCCCCCATTCACCAATCACGAAGACTCCATGCCGTGAGAGCACGAGAGGATGAGGACGCGAGGATAAGAACGCGTAGTATGACCAGAACCTTGGCAGCGATGATGACGACAGGATGGTGATGATGATGACGATGATGATGGTGATGATGTTGATGACGATTATGCCAACGATGATGACGATGATGATGATGATGATGTTGATGGTGACGATACTGATGGTGACATGATGGTGCTGACGATTATGGCGATGATGACGATGACGATGACGACGATGATGGTGGTGATGATGATGTGGATGGTGATGATGATGAAGAGGATTATGGCGCACATGATGATGATGGTGATGTTGATGCTGGTGCTGTTGAGGATGACGATGACGAATGTGCGGCTTCAGCTGTCGATGATGATCGTGATGATGACGATGACGATGATGGAAGTGGTGGTGATGATGATTACGAGACGACAACGATAATGACGATGACGATGACGATGACGATAAGGATGATGCTGCTGATGCTGATGATGATGTTGATAATGTTGATGATGATGACGCTGGTGACGACCATGGCGATGACGATGGTGATGATGATGATGGTGGTGGTGGTGATGACGATGATGACATGGTGATGATGATGATGATTATGATGATGCTGATGACGGTGATGATGATGCTGTTGATGATGTTGATGATGATGATGATGGTGATGATGATGATGCTGCGGTTGCTGATGGTGCTGACGATGGTGATGATGGTGACGATGGTGATGATTACGATGATGCTGCTGATGATGCTGATGCTGATGCTGATTAGATGATGATTATGATGATGAGGATGATGATGATGCCGATGATGATGATGATGCTGGTGGTGATAATGGCGATGTTGATAATTATGGTGATGCTGTTGATGATTATGATGATGATGATCATGATCATGATCATGATGATGATGATGCTGATGATGATGATAATGATGATGATGATTGGTTATCGTTCTGTGTAAGTCAACGAGTTCTGTGAGGATGAGTCGGAGGAGGGGTAAAACGGAGAAGTGGGAGGAGGAGGAGGATGAGGAGGAGGGATGTCAAGCAAGGTGCGCAGGCCCGCTCGACAGTAGGACTTTTACGTACTCCGTAACCATGTTGGCTCAAGTTCCGGCCCCCGCGCGCAGACCAGCCAGGAGACATCGGCAGCGCCGCTGCTTCCTCACCCAAGCAGCAGAGATGGCGCCTATGATGAAGTCCACGGTCATGACCAAGAGTGCCCTCATGGCGGCGCTCGCGGAGGCCTGCGAGGTGAAGAGGGGCGTGATCGGCACGGCCTTGAGCACTCTGGCGAGCATTGCAACGACAGAGGCGAAGAAGAACGGCAAGTTCGTCATCCCGGGCGTTGCGATGATCAAGACCCGCCAGAAGAAGGCCACCAAGGCTGGGAAGCGCGAGATCTTCGGCAAGGTCGTCATGGTGAAGGCGAAGCCGGCCAAGACCATCGTCAAGGCTTTCCCCGCGAAGGCCCTCAAGGATGAGTTCTGAGGGCATCCCAGTCTGCGGCGAGCCGCTCGAGGATGCTCAGCGTGTGCTCCCTTAGGTGCTCGTCCGTTCTTTTCTTTGTGCAGGTTGGCTGGAGGGTGCGTGGTTATGCATGGCCTTCTGGTCCCAGGATCCTCGGCGAGGGCGACCATATGTACTCCACACCCGTCTCGCAGAGGAAACCATCGCTGCTTTCCCATGCACCAATCACAAGTGTTCCATGTCGTGAGCGCAAGCAGCTATTTCTTCTGGGTTACTTGGGTCAGCCATGCTGGAGGATGAGGACGAGGAGAACGACATCACTTCGTACGGCCATGACCGTGATCGTGACCGTGATCATGATGTTGGTGATGATACTGATGATGATGATGCTGACGCTGATGATGATGCTGATAATGATGAGGATTACGATTACGATGGGGACGCTGAAGATGATGATACTGACGATGATGGTGATATTTCTGATGATGGTGGTGGTGAGGATGGTGATGTTAATGGTAATGTTAATGGTTATGATGAAAACGCTTACGATGCTGACGATGATGATGACGATGACGACGATGATGATACCGCTGATGATGGTTATATTGTTGATGATGGTAACGATGCCGATGATAACGACGCTGTTGATAATGATGATGTTAATGGTGATGTTGATGATGGTGATGATCTGACCACAACGATGATGATGATGATGATGATGATGATGATGATGATGATGATGATTGTGAGTGTGATCGTGATGCTGATGACGATGAGGATGAGTATGCTGACGAATATGAGGATTCTGCTGCTGCTGCTGCTGATGGTGGTGGTGGTGATGATGCTGCTGCAGATGATGATGCTGATGTCGATGCTGATGCTGATGCTGATGCTGATGGTGCTGCTGCTGCTGCTGATGATGATGATGATGATGACGATGACGATGACGATGACGATGACGATGCTGCTGCCGCCGCTGCTGCTGCTAATGATTCTAATTCGATATCGCCATAACCGACGTCTCGTATGACGTACATATGTTTTTCGACTTGTCCCAGGGCGTGTTTTCACTGTCTGGGCAGATACATAGGATGGGCTCTGCGACATTGGCTGACCTTGTCACTCAACTATAAAGTATGATTAGGAGGAGAGAAGGGCGAGGAGGAAGAGGAAGAGAAAGAAAAAGTGGAGGAGGATTGGTTGGGCGACGGGAATGAGACGGCGGGACGCGAATGAGGCGCAACGAGGAGGAGAGGGGGAGGAGATGGGTACAAAGCAGAAGTGGGAGGAGGCGGAGGAGGAAAGGCAGACAGGGTACGCAAGCCCATCCGACAGTAAGACTTTACCCCGTAACCATGTTGGCTCAAGTTCCGGCCCCCGCGCGCAGACCAGGAGACATCGGCAGCGCCGCTGCTTCCTCACCCAAGCAGCAGAGATGGCGCCTATGATGAAGTCCACGGTCATGACCAAGAGTGCCCTCATGGCGGCGCTCGCGGAGGCCTGCGAGGTGAAGAGGGGCGTGATCGGCACGGCCTTGAGTACTCTGGCGAGCATTGCAACGACAGAGGCGAAGAAGAACGGCAAGTTCGTCATCCCGGGTGTTGCGATGATCAAGACCCGCCAGAAGAAGGCCACCAAGGCTGGGAAGCGCGAGATCTTCGGCAAGGTCGTCATGGTGAAGGCGAAGCCGGCCAAGACCATCGTCAAGGCTTTCCCCGCGAAGGCCCTCAAGGATGAGTTCTGAGGGCCTCCCAGTCTGTGGCGAGCCGCTCGAAGAGACGTGCTTCCCCAGGTGCTCGTCAACCCCTCCGTTGGAGGAATCCTCGTGTCATCTTGTCCAGGCTGGCAGGAGGGTGCGTGGTTATGCATGGCCTTCCAGTCCCAGGACGCTCGGCGAGGGCGACTACATGTACTCCACACCCGTCTCGCAGAGCAAAACATCGCTGCACCCCCCATTCACCAATCACGATGATTCCTTGCCGGGAGAGCATGTAGCTCTTTCTTCTGGGTCGCTTGGATCAGCCGCTCTTGGGGATGAGCACGTGGAGGACAAGAACACGTAGTGTGACCATGACCATGACGGTGATGATACTGACAGGCTGATGATGGTGATGACAGTGGCGATGTTGATGATGTTGACGATGACTATGGTGGCACGGTGGTGCTGATGATGATGGTGGTGACGATGATGCTGATTGCGATGCTGATGGTGGTGATGATGCTGTTGATGATGTTGCTGTTGATGACGATGATGACGATGAGGAGGATGTTGGTGCCAATGATGATGTTTTTGATGCCGATGATGTTGAGGAAGATGTCGATGACACAATTGCGCCTGCTGCCAGCGTTTACGATGACCGTGATGATGCTGCTGATGATGATGGTGGTGGTGGTGGAGATGATGACGATTACGATGACGATGACAATGACAAAACACGATGACATTGATGATGATGCTGATGATGCCGATGCTGGTGATGGTAATGATGATGATGCTGATTATGATGCTGATGATACTGATGATGATGATGTCGATAATGATGATGCTGATGATGATGCTGAAGGTCGTGATGAAGACGGTTACAATGATGACGATGACGATGATGATCAGGATGACGATGATTATGCTGGTGGTGGTTGTGATGACGATGATGATGATGATGAAGCTGGTGGTGGTGGTGGTCATGATGATGATGATGCTGATGCTGATGATGATGATGGAGATTATGATGATACTACTGATGTTGAGGATGGGGATTCTGATTTTGATTCTGATGGTGATGATGTGGATGTTGATGACGATACTGATGATGCTGCTAATGGTGAAGATGATGATGATGATGATGATGATGCTGATATCGCTGACTACGACGATGACACTGATGATGATTATGATTGTGATGCTGCTGAGGATGTCGATGATAATGCATGATGATGCGGATGATGCTGATGCTGATGATGATGATGCTGGTGGTGATGATGCTGCTGCAGATGATGATGATGATGATGTTGATGATGATGATGATGATGATGATGATTATGATGATGATGCTGATGATGATGCTGCTGATGATGATGCTGCCGCTGCTGCTGTTAATGATGCTGGTATAGATATCACCATAACCGACGTCTCGTATGACGTACGTATTTTGTTCGACTTGTCCCAGGGCGTGTTTTCCATTGTTTGGGCAGATACATCGGATGGGCTCAACTGTCAACGATGATGAGGGGGATGAGAAGGGCGAGGAGGACAAGGAAGAGCAAGAGGAAG